CGCAGGGCCCTCGCACTGCTGCTCCCGCCCGCCAGCCTCCGGGGCGTGGGAATTCTGCACCTTCATCTGGGTCGAGGTACCCAGGCGTACACACACGTGACAACGCACCGCCTGCACGCTTACAACGTGCTCATTGTATGTAAGCGACACCTCGATTTGGAACTTTAAAAAGCGTGCAGGCTGAGGTCGCACCTGCCTTTGTCTCCGATCTTGTTCTAGGAGCTTATCGGTCAGTGAAAACCCTGTTCCCCGTCCCGGTCCCTGGAAGATGACCAAGACGGACAGCGCACCTCCTGAGACGAAAGCTGTGCAGAGGCAGGCTGCCCGCTGCCAGGCCGGGCGCGGCCAGTCGGGAGACGCAGCCGACGCGGTCAATGGTGACGAGGAGGAGGAGGAGGAGGAAGGCCGCGGGGAAATGCCACCAGCACGGAGAATGGGATGTCCAGGTGGAGGCCCCGCCAGTGGCGCCCACGTGCGTGAGGAGGCCCTGGTAGAGCAGGCGCTGGTGAGCCTGCAGCGGAGAGAAAGGTCAAGGGCACGCTCTGTGTGGGAGGGTGTCAGGTTCTGGTGGGGAGGACCCAGGACCCTACGGGCAGGCGGGAGAGGAGCGCGTCACAACTTAGAACATGCTAGGCCGTGGTCGGCAAACCACGGCTCGAGAGCCACATGCGGCTCTTTGGCCCCTTCATTGTGGCTCTTCCACAAAATACCACATGCGGGTACACATGTACAGTGCGATTGAAACTTCGTGGCCCATGCGCAGAAGTCGGTATTTTGTGGAAGAGCCACACTGAAGGGGCCAAAGAGCCGCATGTGGCTCGCGAGCCACGGTTTGCCGAGCCACAGTTTGCCGACCACTGTGAGCAATAGAGGGCGTAGCAATCAGAACAGGCCCTGGAAGGCCCTTCACCAGCACTTCCTTCCCCTTCACGTGAGCGTGACCCACAGAATGTACCCACGTTGCCGGGAGATCGCCAATGGAGGCTGCTGCTGCTCACCCTCCGGGTACAGCCCGGTGGGGCCCTGGGCCGAGCGCTGCCCAGCCCTCCAGCGGCCAGCAGGGGGCAGTGGTGAGTGAGCCGGCTCAGGACTCAGCCTGGGCTAGAAGCTGTGGGCCTTCAAGGACAGGCACCCTCTTTGCCTCCATCCCCTCGGCGGGGAGCGGGGAGCGGGGAGCGGGTCATGCTGCACCGGCCACACTGGCTTGTCTTGAGGCTTCTTGAGGCTCACGCACAGCAAGCCCTTCGTGTCGTCCTGGCACAGAGCAAGCCCTTCGTGTCGTGAGCTGGGGCTGCTGCCTCCCTGTCATCTTCCCGGGATCGAGGACCAGACGAAACGAGGCG